CTTGTACGTATGGCTAATGTATCCAAACCATGTCCGTAGACCCACGAACACATAACTACCTCGCTGGCAACTCTGCGAGAGACCCTGCAAAGTTCATCGACCGTAAGCTGCAAAATGTTTTCAAGAAGGTATCTTGGTTCGAGAATGAACCGTTGGACCGCCCGTTGGCTTCTGTTCCCGAGTCGCACTTCAGTAGACTGTACGTTTTTCGCTACAGAGCTGGTTAGACAAGCACGGGATAGCTCGTACGTGCTTCTCTTGAAACTGCTGTTTGATGTTGGCACGCTCCGGCACCGTCTACATAGGCACCGTATCGTGAAAACCGCGGCCATGTTCGTCGCTTGTCCGCTCCAATTCGACAGCCGACTGTGGCTACTGGAGTGAAAACGTGCTCGGAACAGAGGCCATGACGACAGGCGTAAGCGAGGTGGGGGTCGGCATCGCGAGTTAGCGCACTGTAGCATACTGATTTCATGTGCTCTTGAAGTATTATCGGCATATGATAAAGATTCGGGCATTTCAATCCTCGCCAGCGTAACGGCAAGAATTCCCTTCCAAGAGTGAAAACGGCAAACATTTTCGACGATGGTGCCCGCAGGTGGTATCGACGCTGGAAATGGACATGTGAAGAAGACAGGTGGAACCGCCCGATGAGAATACGTATGGGTTAATTTGGTCAGAGAAGCGTGTGCGCGAAAGTTTGGTCTGCCTTCCCTTGTTGAAGGGTCAGCAACAGTATAGCAATAGCCTCGCCCTGAGATCTGGCGCAAGAGGGCGGACGGACGGTAGGCAATCATGTCACCTCTCGACCAGATGTGTACGATCCTCGGTTGTGTGTGCGGCGGCATTGCTCTCATGACAGCCGATGGGAATGCATTCATTTTCAAACCCTTGGGGGCAGAGAAGAACGCCCGGCTTCTGCACCCCCTGCAGCTTGTTGTGTCTTTCGCACGCCATGCACGCAGAATCCTCACTTGCCCGGCCACGCCTCTTTTCTGCAGGGAATCATATATCTCTTAAGGATTACCGTCGCATCTCTTGCGGACGGTGGCTATATCGTCGATGCTTCAAAGGTAAATGAGCGCTGAACGATCCGATCGAGGAGGTTGAAAGTTGAGCTTCGCAAGGCAGATGATTGATTACAGGACCGTTGCAACGTATTTCAGAGTACCTACCGATGGTGCACGTTGCACTCGTGTGTCGTTTTGCCCTCGTCGTGCGATCTGCGTACCGAGTTGCCTTGCCTCCACCACCGAGAAGCGAAGATTCTGGGTCACCCAGAGCATCTCTTGCTTCATGGTGGATTTCTTCGCATTTTCGGACCCCCCACATCGCTCTCGGGGACAATTTTGCTGGAATCTGTACCCTCATAAGAGCATCCGAAAAGTGCCACCCCGATATCACCCTCTCTACGCACGAAATCCCGTTTGAGAAGAGTTTGCCCAGAGTATCTTGAAACGCTCCCCTTCTTTGCTGTGTTTGTGCGCGTACGTGCGTTTTGGTCTTCCTGAACGCATGCAGGCCGACGACTATTCCTCCCGTCGACGTCGTTTTGGAGAGCGTGAGAGCCTTCCCTATGATAACCATCATGATGGATATGTGCCACAAGGACGAAAGCATTGCCGACTAAATCAAGGGCACAGTCTCCCGCCTCTGACACACCCTGCTTGAATGCTTCAATATTTATTCTGGACCCAAGGGCCTGCGTTTTTTGGTTTTCCTATGCGTCGGCCAAAATACATCCTCCAGAACTATTCAGTGTTGGTAGTCTCGTAGGAAGTCCACCCTACCTACCGTTCTCTCTTCGTGCTTTTTGAGACAACTGTTCCTGGCGAAGTTTTTTGGTGCAGACCGAGAGCCATCACTACCATGGACAGACACAATCTCGCGCGCAGTAAATATCATGGTGGTTATAGTAATGCATCAGTCGCCAGTGTTTCCCCAGATTTGTCAAGTCTGATACTACTGGTAGGTCGTGCGAAACCCCGTAGTACACAATACAGTGTCTTGGCAGACGAGTTAGATGTTAGTGATTGTTGGTCGAAGTTGGGGTTAGGGCTGGTTGGGATTGGCTAACGCACAGCAGAACTATGGGGAATACGCATCATCAAAGTTTTGCCGGGTGCAAGTGACGTGGCAAAGACACACTTTGCTGCAGTAAAGGGGTTGATTCAAATATTAATTGAGCGGTGTAATATGCATTGTGAACTTCTCTCGTACGATAGCTATACTCGATGCAATGTACCGGTAGCGCAACGACCGCCATGCCAGTTCTTCATATTCCTCCTCTTGAAGTTTTACGGGACTTTCCTGAGTACGCCCCGTGGTTCGACGTACGACGGATGGATGCTGTGAAAGCCTGAGGAAGCTTCGATTCCGTTCCTTGTGGCTGACTTCAAGGAGTGGAGCCGTGGGCGGTAGCTTGCTCCTAGAGAGAGATGAAGGTTCTGTCGTTGACACTCTTGTCCACGACCACGTTGAGATGGGAAAGTTGCTTGTTATTGCGGAGAGACGATCAGCAAAGGTCTGGGATGAAGTGGGGATCCAACTCCACCTCAGGGGGTACACAGAGTAGACAATTCTAAGGGGGTAGGGGTCAGAAGGGTATACCTCCTGACCGACCCGCATCCTATCAACAATAAGATGTACCCTATTCATGCTAGCAGCCACATTCCTTAACACTAGTCCACCCTGAATATCATATATGCAGGTTCTATACTCAAATCAATGCTCAAATCCTAAAGCTACAGTAAGATTTAGCTGATGATTTATGATCATGAATCGAGGATATCACTCTTCACAAAACATCCAAAAGGAGGGTGAGTTATACAAATATCCCGAATCAATCCCCCACACCATCATTGAGATGAAGAATGTGAACGGTCACGGGACGGAACATCGACATCTCAATGACAACGCTTAAAGGGATAAAGCTACGAAGAATATATATTGCGGCAGAGCACGCTATCATCCTGAACAGACGACGACAGGGAAAAAAAACAATATCCAGACGCCACACACCACTCTATTTCGCGCACCCGCGCGTATCACCGCTGGAGGAATGAGGGTGACTACACGAGCGAGTCCAAAATACGGTGACGAAACTCGAAACCCAAACAATTTTCCGAACGAATACGGCCTTTGATACTGGACGCGACCCAAACGGGAAACTCAACGCAATCTAGGACGTTAACGAAGGGCAGGAGAAAAGAGCGACAGGCAAAGGCACGGAGAACGATGGCCGGCGTGCCCGGGTACCCAACCCGTATAAGGAGACGGCACGGGCAAGACCTTATGAAGACCAAGGATGCAAAGCACAAGCGATGAATGCAAGAGAGGCGGTCGACGAACTGCGCCATGGCTCGCTGGCGATACGCATCATTGAAAGACATAAAACACAGAAAAGTCGTAGAGATTCACACAACAAGAAGACAACTCAGGGGCGCTACTGTGATGAAGGCGTCGCCCGAAGCTGGCGATGATGGAGACGAAGCAGAACGAAGTGTGGGTGACGACGAAAATCTATGGCAGAAGGCGATGCCACGGGATGGAATCCCGAAGCACCAAGCGTATGCAACACTTGTGCGGCATGATGGAACTAAAACAAAAAAACATTAAGACATTAGTTGGCAAACAGGCGAACCAGGAAAACGCGCGGGACTCGGTGTCCAAGTGTCCCGAGGCAAACATCACCGACGAAACTTGGGGAACTCTTTTTCCAAGTGTTCAGAGGCAGATAACACCGACGAAACTTCGGAGGGAGCTTGTCAAGAGAACCAAAGACCAACAACAACAACAGAACAAAATTAGCAAAGGCGAGAGAGAACGGACATCCAGGTCGCGGCAGTCATTGATTCAGATGAATGCAGGCAACAAGGAAGAAGGATCACTCGACAATGCGCGTCTTGAGGCGGCGTTGCCCCAGCGTCCAAAACAAAAAGTAAGCCAACGAAAGAAAAGAGACAAGACAGAAAAACAAAACGAAACAAAACGGAAGGTGAGAGAAAAACAAAAAAACAAAGCAAAACGGAAGGTGAGAGAAAAAAAAATCAAAAGCAAAACGTCGGCGAGAAGGATGGCACAAAAGGCCAAAATAGGCCGATTGGTATATGAAAACGACGACGCTAAGAAGAAATGGTGGGAACAGCAGACGGTAAGGAGTCAGTAAGGAGCGGAGTGCGATCACGGTTGTCGCCCAGAGGGCGCGAACGATGTTTCTCTAAACACCATGATCCACAGACGGCGTCCAAGGCGGTGGAGTAGAGATGCGTAGGACGAGGGAGAACGCTTGGGCCCGGGTCGTCCAAAAATCGAACGATGTACGAGCCGCCCTGATGAGCACCAATACGTCCGGTCCACCACAATCCATGAAGGGCTTTGTACCACAGCCGCGCGCCAACAAGGAGGGGCGAAGTGCTGAAACGACGAAGCCAAGTCGCGTAAAGCACAAGATCAGCCCCAGGAGGCAAATAGCGTTCTCCACGATTTCGGGCTAGCTCCCGCTGTGCCGCGCGAGTCCGAGCCACTCGATATGTACGGTTACCCTGCTTGCTTTGGCAGGCCTCCCGGGACCAGTACAAGAGGATGTGTCGACGGAATTGATCAAAATTCGATTCCCGTTCCCATGAAGGAGTAGTCAGGCCTAACCAATGCGTCTGGTACAGGACAGCGAGAACGCCGCTACGGCCCCGCACCAGGTGATGTCGCGAGACGTAGTCGACCTCGAGGCGCCCGACAGGCACCGACACATCATCCGCGGTGACGTGAAAAGGTGGGCATTTATCTCCGAAAGAGTGCAGAACATTACGCGAAAGCTCGGCGGGCAGAAATGGCGGCAAGTCGTCCGCTCGTACGGAGTGCGACAGGGCTTGCAACGAAGGACAGACACGCGACAACGAGCTGCCGGGCCGGAAAGATCGGAAGGCAGGTCCAGGTAGAGGGGTTTACGCGCCAACGGGCGGCCGTCCGGAGTGGCGTCGGCAGAGGTGGGACCCACCGCAAGAACTTTGTAGGGCCCCGTTCAGGAAAGTGCGAACTTGGCCTTGAGCACCTGTTGGTCCGTGTCCTTCTGCACACCCTGTCGAATTGTAGCAGCCGTGTTGTACACCCAAGCCCACCCGCCAACGGTAAACTGAGGGAGCTTGTGAATGGCGTTCTGCAGGGATGAATTGCGGCGTTCGACTCGCGAAATCTTCAGGGCGTTGTACTCACGGACAAGTTCGTAGGCCCGGCGCTGGCGATCGACAGCCAGGTTGCAATACTCGAGTTGATCGCGGGCCAAGCTTTGATGACCACCTACCGTGGGACGATCGAAGACCGAAAGCGGGAGTCGCGGGATGCGTCCGATGTGGATCTCGTTTGCCGCTAATCCAGTAGACTGGTTCACGGAATTGTTGTAGGCAAACTCAACGTGCGGGAGATGTACGTCCCAATCGTGTTGCTGTTCGTTGACGACCACCGCAAGCATTTGGGCCATCGTGTGGTTGACGCGTTCCGTGCCGCCGTTGGTCTGTGGGTGGTAGGAGCTGGTGGTGACCTTCTTGATCTTCATCACCTCGTAGATCGCCATGGAGAGCTTCGAGCAGAAATGCAGTCCGTTGTCCGACAATAACGTAGTCGGACATCCCCACTTGGTCATGTATTGGTTGACGAAGATGTGAGCCGTCCCTCTCGCCGTAAATTCCGCCGCTGTAACTGCGAACATGTCGGCTCTCCGACTGAAACGGTCTGTGAACAACAAAATGTAGGAGTTGCCCTTGGCAGTCACTGGCAGAGGTCCGAAGAAGTCGACGCCGACGACCGTACCAGGCCCCTTCGGCAATGGCATAGCGATGACGGGCCACCGAGCAGTCTGACGTGAAGTCTTGCGAGCTTGACACACCAAACACGCCCGAAGCCACCAGCGCACGGAACGATCCAAACCAATCCACCAGTAGAAGCGCTCGAGCAGACAATGTGTACGATGGACGCCGAGATGGAATGACGCGGCGGTATGGCATGCATGAAGGACCCACGGACGCATCAGCATTGGCACGTAGACACGGGGCACGCCAGTATCCGGCAGACGAGTTTTCCTGCCGCCAGAGCGCCCAACCGGCGACGTCGCCGATTCATGTACGAGGAGGGTGATGTTGTCATCGGTCGTGTGCAGTCTGGTTTTCGCCGCCAACACAAGCACATCATCTAACCGAGGGGAGCGAAGAGGAGCACAGAGAGTGAGCAAGCCCTGAGGGGGTGGGGAGGGAGAACCGCGAAACAAAAAACGCATAGCCATCACACACTCGCTCTCCCGATGGTGTTCCCTAGCACAGTCCACAGTGCTGAAACTCTGAACACAAGCCCGCAAGTGGGAGGTGTCCAAATCAGAAGATTCCGAAACAAAATCAGGCGATCCAACGGAAGAGGCTGAAGAAGGCGAAGCCTCAGCGACTGGGGCAGCCGCAGTCCGTGGTGATGTCCGCGAAGGGGACATCGTGAGTGGCGAAGTCCCGGGCGAAACCTGTAGTGAAGGCGAAGTCGGGGATGCAGGGCGCGCCGCTGACGGCAAAGACACCGGTGGCGCAAGAGCAGTCGACGAAAACGCCGATGCCGGCGTTGCGGATGGCGGCAGCAGACGCGCGGCGGTCCGGGTGGTCTTGTTTGTCGAGCGGGACCTGCTTGTTTGTCGAGCGGGACCTGCTGGAGCGACGGGCAGGCGACCATGTCCGAGGGACGATGGTAGCCCGCGGCTGGCGTCCGAAATAAGCGGGACCGGTGACGGTGCCTCCGGAAACTGCGGTAGTTTTGGACCGAGTCCGTGAAGAAATGAACGGTCCCTGCTCCGAAAGCGAAGACAAAACGTGCATATATCTAGTCGCCAAAGACGCGGCAAGAGACATCACGCGGGACGCATCCGAAGTCAATGAGGAAGCAGGCCCTGAAGATGCGAGAACAGGCGAGACAATGAAGATCCCCGGGGACCGCCGAGAATTCTCGCAGGCAGTCATTGAGTCCGTCAGAGCATCCAACCGACGCGGGTGATATCGGCAAAAATCCCCGAAATCGGAGGGCTGCAACGCTGGGGGCGAAAAGACTCCTGCCACCCAAGGAGGGCGGAGCCCACCCAAACCAACCTCCGGTGTAGCCGACGAGTGATAGCTGCGCCCGCAAGCCCGAATGAGGAAAGCACCCGCTTGATCGACACCATCAATGCAGTCAGGGCCGGTTTTGTCCGTGTCTTGTGCTGGTAAAGGCAACCGCGAAAGAAAATCCGCGTTGCCGTTTGCCGAACCTTTCCGATATTTCAGGGTGTAGGTGAAGTTGGACAGGAATTCGAGCCATCGTTGCACCCTAGCGTTGTGTTCCCCAACCTTGCCAATGCTCTCCAATGCTTTGTGGTCCGAATAGATGATGAACTTGGTCGACCACAGATAACCGCGAAGGCGTTTGATGGCCCAAACAATGCCACCAGCCTCCAGATCCAAAACGGTCCAGTTACGCTCCGCAGGAAGATTAGCGCGGCTGATGCACGATGGGTCTCACCAAGTCATCGAGCTGTTCTTGTTCCAAGGAGGCGCCAAAACCGTCGATACACGCGTCGGAACATAAACGAAGAGGACGGCTGTTGTCCTCGATTGCTGCCCAATCCGGGAAGACGAAAATCGGGGGGCGAGCGAGTTCTCTTAACAACGTTTTGACAACCTTGACCATGCCCGGGGTGTACTTGAAGGGGACGCCTTGTTTGAGAAGAGAGTTGAGAGGCCGCACCTTGGTGGCGAGATTCTTGAGGAATTTCCGGTAGTAACTGAGTCCACCGAGAAGGCTCCGAAGCTGCTTAACATTCGTCGGCGGCGGCATGTGCGTGAGCGCCCTAACCTTGACGCCATCAGGGCTAACACCTCCCGGAGAGATGGTGTGACCGAGAAAGTTGGCGTGCGTGGCGCCGACGCGAGCCTTCCCTGGAGACAGTTTGAGGTTGTACTGTCGCAGTCGTTTGAAGAACTCGATCAAGTTTAGCACGTGTCCCAGAGGTTCCTCATCGAAACAGATGACATCGTCCAGATAAGCCAGCACACGCTCCAGACCGTGCACCACTCTGTTGATGACCTTGACGAACCAAGACGGACTTGCGTTGGCGCCCTGCGGCATCCGAAGCCATTCGAACAACTGCGTGGGAGTGCAAAAGGCGGTGGGCGGGACAGTGTCTTCATCACAAATGATGTAGTGGAAAGCCGAGTTGAGGTCGAAGATGGAGAACACTTTCCCGGTGTACAGAGAATCCAAGATACCGTCCACTCGAGGGAGAGGTTGTCCATCCAAATCCACCAGAGCGTTGAGACGTTTGTAGTTGACGGTGATGCGAACAGATCCGTCCTTCTTGGGGATGACAACTAAAGGAGAAGCCCACGGAGATGTGGAATGTTGAATGAGCCCTGCCGCCAAATACTGTCCAAGACGGCATCCACTTTCTTTGCATCAACGGGTTGATACGATACGGGCGTGATGCAACGGGCTTCGTCCCTGCTGGGACAGAAAGCGTGAACGGCATGATGGTGCAGGAACCAAAATCGGTTTTCGAAGTAGAGAACACGTCAGAATACTCCACAAGGGCGTCGGCCAAACGATCAATAGCCTCCGGTGTCCATCCCGGATTGTGTAGATCGAAAGCGATGTCGTGCATATGTGCGGGCAGCCTAGCCCACAAGCGCATGAAGCTGGAGCGCTGTGCCTCAGAGAAGCGGTCAAGTAGTTCTTGTGGAGGCGGCTTCGGAGGGAGCGGGGCGGAGGCTGGGTCCGGAGAGCGGTGAGTCCCGGACTTGGGGCCAACGGCGTTAACCCGAGGTGGTGATGTAGATGTTGTGGGGCCGGTAGGAATCGAAGATGGTGCCGCCTTCAGGGTTTCCACCGGTACTCGTAGTAGCGGCGCGGCAGACACTCCAATTACGTCTCCCGGCTCGAGCTCGGCACAACCTGCAAGGGGAATACGCTGGAGACCATTTGAAACGAACGCATCTGGGGACGAAAGCGCACCCACTTCGGGTTTGAACGATACCAGATACTCTCCAATCAGCGCAGGCATGCCAGAAGAACGAACGAGGTTCACCTCAACGAGTGCAGGCTCCGGCCCCAAAGAAACTCCCGAGCTCCCTGCATATTTAAGGTGAAACGAGGATGCAGGAGCGTCGTCGTGTGTAGCGTAAACGCAAGCGCCAGCGGTAAAACGCGGAGAGAGCGTGAGCTCGCCCATAACCCGGCCGTCCGGTCCAGGGTGGGGGAGGGTGGTGAACACGCGAGAGTTGAAGCGCATCCAGCTATCACGACCCAGAAGCACGGCGTGCCCCATGGCGGCGTCTGGAACAACACAGGCCCAGACCGCCAAGGAAGCGGTAGCTCTATCTCCATGGAGAAAATTAACGGTGAGACGAATCGACCGGGTGGTCACAAGGGCGGGTCCATCACCAAACCCACCCCAACGACGAGAGGGCGAAACACGAACGCTGCCAGCTGTCAGGGCTCCGGCAGCTATCATGGCGGTGACCACGGAGTCGGAAACGAAGGATGCAGGAGACCCAGAGTCCAGAAGCGCCACCCGCGCGAGTTGAGAAGTGGCTGTAGGTCCTCCATGCAGCAGGACCCGGGTGGTGTATGAGTCCGAGTCCAACAGGAGGGTGCCGCCGACCAGATCGGACCCATGTTCGAGAGGAGGAGGCTGGTCTGCACAAGCGGAGGTCGATGCCACCAGATGAACGCCAGGAGCATGGTCCCCCGGAGCGTCCAAACGTAGACAAGCTGGGTCTTCGCCCGGGTCCTTCCGTAGCGAAGAACCTGTAGCAGTAGCAACCTCATGAATGCGTCGATGTCCATGGAGGGGAGGCTGCGAAATGGGGGGCGTGGAAGAACTGGAAGCGGGAAATCTTCGCCAGACAGGGGATGGTCACGCAAAAGGCGTCGAACTTCCATCAAAGCTTTTCCCAACAAATTTTACCGCTAGCCGCCCACGTGGATGAAACGCTAGCCTCTGGAAAGCATGCAGACATGCCGATACCCCAAACACGATCGAAGGGGGCTGGCTCAACGAGGCGGGTACCCGTCTCCAGTAAATGATGTTTTCATATCATGGTTTTGAGCAAATTTGGCATACGACCCCGTAAGCACGATCTCTTCACGACGACGCTCCCATTCAGCATAGTCGAAAGGACGCACGTTTCGACCCAAAAACTTGTGTGTCATAGGATCTGTTGCAGCCATAATTTTGTCACACGACGTCATATCTCCAAACAACTTCGCTTTTTCAGACATCATGAACTGCTCACCGCATGAATTAACGTACCCCCAGTACGTCAAAAGCCGAAGGAGACCATTGCGAGAACACAGACGGAGGTTTCCAGAAAAGAAGGACGTCATCCGAGCGTACTCGCACTTGTCACCAAACGGCGGAGCCGGTGCAGGGCGAAGGGGCAAAGAGCGGGCACCAGGCACAGGCGGGGCTGGACCAAGCGGACGGGTCCCCTTCTCCGACGGGGAGGACCCAGAAAGCGACGCAGGAGCGGGCGAAGTCGCAACGCTCCGTGATCCGGAGGGCGGCCTTAGGGCGGCGGCTCCGGCGGGGTCAATGTTAGCAGAGGCCATTCAGCTATCAGAGACCCGTTCGTCAGGAGAAGTCATTCCTGCAACAGACGGATGTTTGTTCATTGACGCAGGGCGCTCTTGACTACTCCCCCTTGACAAAGGAGCCGAACCTTCCACAGAATGGTGGGCACTACCATCCGATCCCGATAGCAGTGGTGCACTCAGCACGTGGTGGGCAACAGAGGACGACGCATTCGTATCAGGTGCTGTCACACGGGGGCAGCGGGCGGTCGAAGACAACGAAAGCTGCGAAAGAGAAAGAGGATCGACAGAGGCTCGTGTGCGATCCGATAAGAGGCCCGGCTGGCAACACCAGGAGAGTCTTGACGAATAGTAGAAGACGAGGTTCTTGTTCCTNAGCAGTGGTGCACTCAGCACGTGGTGGGCAACAGAGGACGACGCATTCGTATCAGGTGCTGTCACACGGGGGCAGCGGGCGGTCGAAGACAACGAAAGCTGCGAAAGAGAAAGAGGATCGACAGAGGCTCGTGTGCGATCCGATAAGAGGCCCGGCTGGCAACACCAGGAGAGTCTTGACGAATAGTAGAAGACGAGGTTCTTGTTCCTTCTGTAACCCGAGANACACGAACATCTTGGGAGACTCTAAAAGGGTGCACGGTGGTTGCTGTTGACGGTAGTACCGGCTGAACTCCGCCATCGGCCTGTCATTTCTTTCCCCTCCAGCCTCTTTTTGCCGAAGTGGAAGCCTTCCACGAGTGCTCTGTGTGTGAGGACTGTTTCGTGTCCCATGTGTCAGATGAGCGGCGGNATATCGCCCACACCACAAAGGTACTGCCGAAATGGGTCTGTCATGTCCATTACCAGCAGNAAAGAAATAGGCTGTACACGAACATCTTGGGAGACTCTAAAAGGGTGCACGGTGGTTGCTGTTGACGGTAGTACCGGCTGAACTCCGCCATCGGCCTGTCATTTCTTTCCCCTCCAGCCTCTTTTTGCCGAAGTGGAAGCCTTCCACGAGTGCTCTGTGTGTGAGGACTGTTTCGTGTCCCATGTGTCAGATGAGCGGCGGGCGCGGGCGCGTCTTAAGGGGTGATTGTATATGCGCTGAGAAGGCCTCCGTAGGCTGAAAAGCCATGATTTCGCGTCTATCTCTCCATTTGCCAACCGCGACGTTGTTAACACTACAGTAGTCGCCAGTCGGCGTGCGTCGAAAAAGGACCCGATATCGTGGCTTACTGGAACAGAGCTTCAGGGAGAGAGAAAGAATGAAAGAGAGAGAGAGAGAGAGAGAGAGAGAGAGAGAGAGAGAGAGAGAGAGATAAACGAATAGAAAACAATTGAAACGAGATGACATGCCGAGGAAGACATGGTCTACTTGACGTCGAGCGGCGCGATGCCATCAGCTTATGCCGACAGCGGCTGGATGAAACGAGAAACGACGTGGGCACGGTAGCGCAAAATCGTCGATCCTAGAGGTCATCGAGGTACAAAGCATGCTGACAGTACGCTGACAGAGACCCACTATCGCAAGAACGGCGCTGAGCAAGTTGTACGGTTTTTCGGCTGCATCATCGCCGTCCATCGGATATTCCGCACAGAATCCGCCGATGTACAGCAAGAGACCATCACGGTCTCCATGGAGGTCTCACAGCACCGGTTGCGGTTGTATACGGATCTCAATTTTGTCGGTACTCTCTACATCAGGTTGAGTGTTTCTTCGATGATTGTCCGTCTACAGATGCTCACCGCTTTATTGTTGACAAAACCGTTATCGTAAGGATGGAACAAGAAACACAGATGCGCATAGGGATTGGTTGTGTTCGAATCTTCATTTCGTCTCTCTGTGCTCTCCACAATAAAAAATTATGATACTGTAAATCAACGCTACGAGCATCGTCGGCGTTGCGTCCCTGAGGCTACAGTAGTGAAGGCTCCATCTAAATGGATAGCCCGCGGTCCCAGAACTTCGGGTGGTGGTTGTGTGGCAGTACGCGCTTACTCGTGTGAAGTGTGGAGGTGACAACCGGTGCTCCGCACGTGGAACTCCACATTCATTAAAGTCAAACATCAATCAAACACGGCTACGCGAAATATGGCAGAAACGAAAAAAGCACACAATCCTCGGCAACAGCCAACAAGGTCTGCTCAAGCAACCCACCAGCCACAGGGCCAACTCGCTGAAGGACTAGTCACAACAAATAAAATGATACCAAGACGAAGAAACAGTGCGACCCAACCTGCACACCAAGGTGCCAAGGTGTCGCCTACCAACAACTCGATGATCATGGCACCAAGCTACATGGAGATTCGAGAAGACGCCGAACACGAATCAACACCATTTCTCGACAATTGTAGGAGAAGCGAGATTCATTGCTCCGGAACTGCCTACAACAATACATTGGAGAAGTGACAAAAATTTCTCCGAAATTCATTCAGCGATCGCGAAAAGTGAGATTCTACGAATCCATTCTGCGAGAGGGTCACCGATCGACATGCTAGGGTTCCAAACGACCCGCCATCTGAAATCATGGAACACCTTGAACCCCCGGGCCAATATTGACACGCAGGATAGTCACTTTGGCGGCTCACTTGCAGCAGTCTACTGTATGGGGTTAGAGAGTCCATACATAAACTGAAGAGTAGCAACCAATATGGAGTATATTGTATTGGCTTTCGTATCGCATTCTAAGTAAAACCCATATAATGCTCTATTTTGTGTGGGATTCATTTGGTATGGCCACAATATATATTCCATGCCATATAATAGACCCCCCCCCGGTGTTTGCCATTGGGGTTGTGGTTTCGTCGCTTGGCAGCGATGCTGTAAAACAAGGCGATCACTTCGTGAGCTTCGCAACCAGGTTACCGCTTGTTTAATAGCCTTTGTTTTATTTTTGCGGTATCCATGAATGGTGGCCGAGTAGATCATGTTGTGCGGGGTCGAGAACCCTCGCTCCGCGCGAGGGGGGTAATCGCATATTGTGTTGATTTGTCGAGCACCCTCGAGGCCGTTACCCAGCGCTTACAATTGTCTCTGGAGGTGAAAGCAGCAGAAAACATATTTAGCCATGAGCAGCTGCCATTGGTCCGCAAAGGAAGTAAGCACAAGATGCCGAACACCCTTATCAGGATGCAGCGCACCCTTCATGCGACTCGCCGAATACCTCACGGCGCTTCGCGCTTGGTGGTGTTAGATCCTGGTCCGGTGAGAACCCCGCGTGCTCGGTCCCGGCTTTGTCGGGATGCGAGGTCAATGGTCTAACGACTACGGCATGCACGACTGTGAGTACCCCCCCCCCCCCCCCCCCCCCCCCCCCCCCCCCCCCCCCCCCCCCCCCCCCCCCCCCCCCCCCCCCCCCCCC